GACGGCCTTTCATTCAAACGACCACAACCGCCCGAAACGGCTAAAATTCCCATGTTGTTTTCTTTCCTTCATTAAGGTATGCAGTAGCAGGTGCAGTTTCTCCAAATGCATTGTATCAGTTTATTGCAGACAGCTTGTCCTAAAAAGATTTATTTGTGGTTGCTTATCTTAATTTGTTAGGAAGTAGACAGGATGACATTTGAAATCTTCACTTGTGCGTTAATGGATGGGGAGGGGTGGAAGTTGCTGTGACTCTCGGAAACCTTTTCGGGCGGTTCGGTATTTTATTCATACAGGTTAGCGAAAACTTCGGTTTTCAAAGAGTTAAATGAAATGCAATGTTTAGAAAGTTCATCGTTATGTGAGCCTTACGTAGGCTGATAATAGAAAGTAAAATGCATAAATATATTAAACGGCTATTCAGTTATGGTCAAGGAAATTTTTAAATTATCGTTAAATTAGGATTATTGCTAAGCCGTGGATTAGCTTGAATTTGCAACTGCAGTCGTAACGTACATTATAAATGCTAAAATATTTGTTTTCATTTTGTTTTAAGAGATTAAGGGTGTGAGATCTAGTATATTTTGCAAGTATAAAATGATATCTAGATCTACTTAAAGTTTTTACCTAGTGAATTCTCCCGATGTCGCGAAGATGAACACAACAGAGAAAGGGTGTAAAAGACCCTTTTATTTATCGCAAATTATTTAACAGAAGGCAGGGATTTACGTGCTTGTTCAAAATACGGACCACATGCGGTGAGAACTTAAAAGTGATTTAACAATAAATTTAAAAAGTTAAGATATTGTGCTAGACTACACAATTCAAATTAATCTAACTGGCTGCCTCAGAAACCTGCACCGGCGATATGCTAACTAGATGGCCAGAATGCGTAGCCGCTACTAAGATTAACAGTCTGGAGAACAAAATAGCAAATGTGCGCATTCACTAACGAAATCACGCCCTTTTAGTTTCAACCAGTTATGTCAATGTTAGAAGGTCCCTTCAAGTTTTCTTTCGTGAAGTTTTCTTTCGTGAGCGGACATTTGAAAACATAATGATCCAAGTGACCTAACTCTCCAAGTGTTGGTATTTGCAGGGTCCTTCTTGCAGAAGTAATCCGGGAATGGGCTATTAGCCCGACAAATATTACCTTAAGAATATTTGTGTACTTCTGGTTTTGTTGTCCATATTTGGAAAGAATTCGCGTGTGCGATGGTCCGTTGTCACTTGTAGTGGCATTTCTTATGGTGAACTTGGTTGACGACCGCTTGGATGGTTGAAGACCGTTGTCTGAAACCGCATTGATTACTGCTAATAAATCTTTCATTGTTGAAGCGAAATCATAGAAGTCCAATAACGCCTCTTTCCAATACCTTCCCTAGCTCTGGGAGTTCTAAAGAACTCTCGTTCTCCTACGCCATTTACATCCTGGCGAGGAAATGCGAGGGAAAATGAGAGAAATCAGGAAAGGATTACAAATTAAAATAATTGTTAGTAAAACTAAACAGGACTCTTTAAAGGTCGTAAATACAGTAAAATTTGATTGAATTACTGTCACGAAACTATGAAAATACCTTTAAATTGGAGTTACGACTAAACCGAGGAGTCGTTCGAATTCAAGTATAAACATGTTATGGATAAAATAAAATACTGAAACGTTTGTTCATATTTTAGTTTAATTGATTAAAGTCATGCATTGATCGTCACGGAACTACTGAAACTATGTAGAGATCGAAATTAACGCTAAAAGAGGAAATCGCGTAAATTTCAGTTTTAAACATGTATATATAAGATAATATGTCAATCAAATTATAACTCAAATTATCTGTACCCCCATAATTATTCTTCATTTTAATTTGTGTATCTCCCCTTTCTGTTCTAATATTAGCAATTGTTTACAGTAACTGCGTCTTTTCAAAATTAATCCACATCATGTCATTTTATGTAACTCGTAGCAATGCGGATATCCTTTATCCAATCACAAATCAAGCATTCACCAGAGAACAAACTCTGCCGAATGCCTCTGGCTTCTGCTGAATATGTAAATATTCCCGCGTTCTGCTGAATGCCTCTGGCTTCTTACTTTGCCTTGCGTTGCTAACACGTTGGGGCTAATTGCTATCTATCGTCCGTTGTCTGAAAATGTAAGTTTCTAAAAATTGCTGGGTGCATATTGGACCCAAGATGATGTGTGGAGGAGAATATGTGTATCAATAATTAGTTGTCCAGCAAATAAATCAAGTATTGTCTTCGGCCACGTCTGTCGTAAGTGTCATCTTTGTATCTATGCAGAAAAGCTTTCTCCAAGTTGTTATAACGCTACCATCTCCAATCCATTTCAACTATCCAATCACCAAGATACCACATTTATATAACAGGTTTATTATAAAGTGCTAAAAGATTTATTTGCATCAATTCTAATAATACAACTGTTTTATGTTCTCAGAACACATGTACAGAAAAAATCTGATGTGTACACCACATGACTTCCTTGTACGGAATATTAAATTATATGCATTTTTTCTTGCATTTCATTTAACTTATTAGATTGAATTAAACCTACTTTCGCCGACAGCGCATAAACCACAATATAATAAATGCATTCTTTAAAATTCACTTTGTTTACCATAGCGACACTCTGACGCTAGGTTTACTTAACAGTATTATATTTCGTTCATATTATAACTCAGAATGCACAAAATTTATATCATTTAAAGAATTATCTAATCGTTGACACATGTTCTATTCAAATACTATAACAAAGCTAGAACGATGTATAAAAGAAATTAAGCAAACAAAACGAAAAAGAATCAGTTTTTCACAGACGATTGAGTATTTCTCATTCAATTAATTCAGTTGTCACTTCGCGACAAGGCAAAAATACATAAAACTCAAAATATCTGTATTAAAATTTACGAAGTAAATCTTAAATACTTATTTCCTCGAAAAAATTCCAGAAAGGATTAAGCATGATTTAATTCGCAATAATAAAATGAAGGCGTTATCTTTGTAGTTGCAAAGCATAGTTGTCTCTAGATTCGGCAACAAAGCTACACTATTCTGCCAAGTTTAAAATTGTAAACAAACATGTCAGCCATGACAGAATTAATTAAGCTTAAGCCGCACTTAAACACAGCTTTTAAATTGTTGATAATTGTATAAATATCGCATGCAGAATTTACGAAAGACATAAAAAGTTTAACCGGAAGATAAGAACAACAATAATTTCAAGTCATTTTTAAAGCAACAAATGAACAATTTACAAACATATAAGAGTAAATAAATTGAGATCACTGAGCCGGGTAACAGAGTGGATATATTTATAAATATATTTATACACGTTTGGCGCGGCCGATTGAAACCAAAATACGATGTGCACATCTACATGTTATAGTAGTCTTATATACAAAATTTCAACGTTCTGAGGCTACTCGTTTTTGAGTTATGCGAGATACGTACGTACGCACGCACGTACGTACGTACGTACGCGTACATACGTTCGTACAGACGCCACGAAAAATTCTCTTCAGAATTCATTTTAAAGCAGTTTTTTAGTTTTTTTGGAGGAAAAGAGTCCTTTATTCTGTCCTTACGTATAGATATTACGCAAAAACATCGTTAAATTGCATTCGAAAGCGCGCCATTACAATACTTCCTTTTTACTTCGTACAAGGAAGTAAAAATATATTACTTTTTTGGAAATTCTTTAATGCAGGATATGTTTTCGTTTTTTTCATACGTTTCGAGTCTAATCAGTGAACATAATTGGGTACTTTTCCATTTTTCCGACGCAGGCGATAAAGCCACCAAAAAATGGTATAACCGATGCCAAACGTAATATCCTCGCTGGTAAGTTTATGCCTCATTTTCAAAACAAGTCGCAGCTATTTTTTATCAGATTGATTGTTTTTTCAATACTGGCATACAACTATATAGAATTTTGGGGTAAAGTGCAGAATCGTCCACTTATTTGATTGGCGTTTGTTTGGCGCTTTTTACAAGAGTAACAAGAATTGGATTTTTGTCAATTTTCTTTGACTTTTTAAGTGAAAATAGCTCAATGTGTACATGGATAAAGTCAAGGTAGTGCGCAATGCCATTTTCGTGCAATTCTGGGATTTTTTTTTAAGTGAAAATAGGTCAAAGTGTACATGGATACCGAGTATGTGCAATTCTTAAAAGCGTGCCAAGCTTTGGGGGATTCTGCAATTTTCCCGAATTTTTACCAATGGTATAACAACAGGTAGTTCAATTTTCTGCCTTAAGGCCATTCGCGGTAATTAAATCAATTAGGATTCAATCACACCGCTCACCCGAAGGCGAAAATATAGAAGAAAAGGCAAAGTCAAGGGTTAAATTCATCAATTCCAATGAGAATGCACAATCGAAGTAAAGCACTGCGGTTTTACATAATTTCTGATTAAGCTATTCGTACGAACTGAAATAATTCTTGCATTTAAACTTGTATTCCATATTAAGATTTAACTTGAAATTAATATAGATAATTACTGAAAGAATTAGATTTTTGTAGCGTAGTTTACGTGAAATAAGATCATTTGGGGTCACGCGAGTATAAACCGGCGAATCAGGATGTTGTACCATGAAAGCACAGTTAATTCTTAAATTAATGTCTTTTTACAAATTTATTGTCTTTTTACAAAATTTTAAACGATATTAAAATGTTTATGCCTTCAAAATAAAAAATTCTTAGAACTAACATTTGTTCACTTTTTTATGTGTATATATGACTGTGTGTTGTCGCCAATAAAGTCTGCTTGGCGAGATTTGCGAGAAAAGTACCCATAATTGTTAAATTAATTTTGTTTTTAAATCGAGTGTTATCAAAACATTTATCTCCATAGCTGTTCTTCCGAATCTCTATGACACTGCAATGTTTCACGAGAGGGGCGAATTCGGTGTTCTCAGATATTGTTATAAGAATTCAATTATTTTAAGCGTAGAAATTGCATTTATTAAATTTTATTTCTTTTCCCTAGAATTTGTGAAACGGTATGTGGTGAGAGGTTGCCTTTACAGCAATGGACTGCAAGATGGCCAGGTATTGGAGACGCTAGCTGAAACAACGCTTAAAGTACAAGTAAATCCAGGTGGGTGCTAAATGTTTCTATTTAAATTTTGAGACAAGTCGCTTTTAATTAAAGATAGAATGCACTGTTAGCATGTATGCTTAAAATGTAATCCTTAAAATCCATACATACATTTAATTTAACTGAAAAGTATTTTTATTTGCTTTAATGTAGATTTTAATTCAACTGTACCAGAAAAATTTTATTTTTAATTGTACTTGTTATGATTACTTAACGCTTAATACGATAGACTTCAAAATATCAGCAAAATTTCCAATCTGATATAAAGATATGAAGATTTATATGCTTTATTTACTAAAACCATAGCGAATATTTTAATTTTTGAAAACTTCCTCCACGGATACCAAATTTTTCGAATATAACCTGTAAAACTAAAAATCTCTGTTGAAATCAATTCTTTAATGTTTTATTTTTGTATAATTCTCAGTAAACACAGTGTATAATTTTAAGCAAAATTAATGCATACAGGTTATTCGTAAAAATTCGTAACGAATAGCGTAGTTGATTTCAAATTTTATTATATTGAAACAGAAACAGTCTCACCAATATTGTTTTACATATTTCACAATTGTTCAATATGTCGATCTTTGCTGATACTTCAAATATCCATGCGAGAGTGCGTTTCGCTTCACATGAATGCCAGCATCTGGCAATAGACCAGACGTCGGTTATACGATTGTGATGATCATCAAGACTAACAAGAGCTTGCAGCAAAAGCAAGTAGCTTTAATAAATTCTCACAAGAAAAAGTCCTATAAGATTAAATCCGACCACCAGGGATGAGCCATCGTATTAGTAAGTGATCTCTTCGTTCTTTGCGTCGTATCCACCTTTGAATAGGTATTTTCTCAAATGCTTTCTAGCTTTACTGAAAATTTTGATAAAGACGTTCGCATAAATAGTGTCAATAATCTCAACCTCGGACAATTATCTTCTTGAACTAGGTAATCATATGTCTCCTCATTCAAATGTGGCATCAGCCATCGTGTTCAACTAAATTCTCCCATTGATAAATACAGGGTGATCAGCGAATAAGCCCTGATTTCAAAATTAAATATCTCTACAACAAAGATCGATAGAATTATGCGGTAAACTGTACGTTTATTAGCAAAACTGTAAAAATGGTGTACAAAAGTTTAGAAACATTAGTTGCGAAAGTCATTAACAGATGGCGCTCTGCGCTTAAAATTCTTTCCCTGAAAGGAATCTAAAAAAAAAAAAAAAATAAATAAATAAAGTGAAGCGGGATTGTTTCAATAGGCAGTGTCTTTCAATGCGTCCCACAGAAAGAAGTCACAAGGACCAGATCGGGAGAATATGGAGGCCAAGCAATTCCTGTGTCAGTAAATTGCCGATAATTTAACGCAATTACTCTATTCCCAAAGTATTCATAAAGAAAGCGAAAAACTTTATCTGTTCGATGTGGTCGAGCCTCATCTTGCATAAACTAATCGATACCTGGTCGATTCTCCAACGCTAGTTGAGTGCTGACAAACTGTTCCAAAGTCGTAACGTAACGTTCAGTAGTTATCGTTTCTCGTACGGAAAAGGGTCCGATAATTCCTTTGGCGCATACCGCAGCCCATGCAGTAACTTTAGGCGAATGCAGTGCTTTCTCTTCACACAAATGATGATTTTCGGAACACCAAAATCTCTAGATTTGTTTATTAACAATTTCATTCAAATGAAAATGTGCCTCATCTGTGAACCAGATGCAGCTCACATCAAATCTGTCATTCTCGATCATTGTTAGAATCTGATTCGCAAAGTCAACCCTTTGTTGCACACCTTTCATGGTGACTTAGATTTTGTATGGAAACATCCGTAGGCTATTTCTGATGCAATCCGTCGGATGCTTTTTCTAGGATTTTAATGAACAATTCCATAATATTTGGCTGCATTTTCAGGAGTGACTACAGTTTTCCTAGGCCCAGCATTTCCCTTTCGATCATCAGCTACGCTGCCAGTCCGTTCGAATTTCGCGAAGAGCATGCGAATGGTTTTCGCATCGGGTCCAACTGGAACATTGAATCGGTTTTGGAAACTGCGACGTGTTGCCGTAGGACTGTGTTCTAATCGGTGAAATTCCAGAATAATAAATAATAATAATAATAATAATAATAATAATAATAATAATAAACACGTTGTTGAATGGAATACATTATTTCACTTTCTACGCTAGCCTCGTTTCACTAGCCAACAGTCGACACTTTCAATGTGTCTCAAGAAATTTCAGTAAACTATGGACATTTAAAATTTACTCCTTAATATGGAGTAGTAAATGCAAGACCCTGTCGATTTGTTTTTCTGTTCCTTTCATTTAAAATAAGTGACTAAATGGTCATAATACCTTCGAAATTGGCCCCTATAGCCCACGGGAAAAGGTTAAAGGCTATTGATAGGTCATTGCGATTACAGCGCCATCTGTTGACGATTTTCGTAACTAAATTTTCTAAACTCTTGTACACCATTTTTACAGTTTTGCTAATAAACGCACAGTTTACCGCATAATTCTATCGATCTTTGTTGTAGAGATATTTAATTTTAAAATCAGGGCTTATTCGCTGATCACCCTGTAAATGTCTGCCATATCAGCAGAGGCGGACACATTGAGTATTTGTAAAATATGTATAAAAGTTGTCTGTGTTTCAATAAAATAACATTTGACAGCGGTTGTGTAGTGCATTTATTGTGATTTTTTTTATTTCTTTAAGAGAAGCATTTGTAATTAACCATTTCAGCATATGTTTTATTTTATATATACTTGTTAACAGTTAGTATAATTCTTTTTTTTCCAGATTGCATTCTTATATCGGGTGTGAAACTCCTATACGGAGACATGAGTGCCACAAATGGAGTTCTGCATGTTGTCGCTGAACTTTTACCTCCATGAACTGCTAGTTTGCACAGTTTCCATTGATGGTTTTCTGGTTCGAAGATATGGATCAGCTTATTCGCACATTTCGTTAAGACCATTTAATTTAAATAAAACATCAACATTTCTTTCTTGTGTTGTTTTATTTCTGTAACGAAACATCGAAAAAGGCTATTTAACATGTAGAGACATTCTAATTTTTCAAAATCCACAGCGCTCTCGCCGGTATTCGAACTGCGAACCTCCTGAATACGTGTAGAGCGTGTTTCTAGTTACACCACGGAGGCGTGCGGAAAAAGGGCAGAAGATACCTTATAAACTCTACATACTTACATTTTTAAAAAGCAAATAAATGCCCCTTACAATAAGATAAATCCACTTTTGGAAGTAGTAATAATATACCTTTGTTGACTTCTGTAGTATGCTGATATGAACCCTACGCAGAGTCGATCCTGTACCTAGAACAACTCTGTGTAAGAGACAAATATGCATTAATTCTCACTCGTTAGTATATTATTATTAAAATTCAATTTTTATGCTTTCATTACTATACTCGTAAATAAAATCGGTGGTATGCCGATGTTATTTCTCTTTTAGTATCAGTTCGACACCATGTCGATACATTCCAAACTACACTAGTAAGCAAAACTTAAGCAACAGGTGTTCTTTTTGACATAAATCCACGAGATATCATCTGAGAGACATGAAATTCAGAAATAAGAGGCAGCATTTTGTAATTAAACGATGACGAAAGCATAATTGCGCAAAAATTCATACAATGCATACAGTATGGAATTAAACAAAAACAGGCTTTATTGAACTCCTAGTATCGTTACACATGATTGTATATATTAAAAAAAAATTAAAAATAGCCTACGGATGAACAAGCAGATGTTCCTTAGTATGGGATATGCACTTCCCTTACTGCAATGGTAGCTCCTCACCGTCTTCCCATACTCAGCGCCAGATTGTCCAACATATCTTGAGGTGAGAGTGCCCATTCCTCAATCATCATCTGTTTCAGTTGTTGGGTGTTCGCCGGAGGATGTAATCGTGCTTCAAGGTGTCTCCCCAAAGCATCCCACACATGTTCTATGGAATTTAAATCAGGGGAATACGCTGGCCATTCCATTCGAGTGATATGTTCCCTTTACAGTAGCTTCTGAACAGCAGGAGTCAGGTGTGGCCGTGCATTGTCATTCATAAAAATGAAGTCTAGTCCAACTGCACCTCGGAACAGACGCACATAGGGAAGAATCACCTCCTGACAATAACGATCTCCGTTTACAGAACTTCTGTCGAAAACGTGGAGCTCTGTCCGCCCGTTCAGCATAATGCCTCCCCAGACGAGATCTCCAGGATCTCCCGGGCACCGTAATGGTCTCTTTCTGTGATGTTACTGAGATAAACCTCTCTCCAAATAAGTTCGCATTGAGAATCACTTGGGGTACTAAAACGACTCTCATCCGCAAGGAGGACACGACTCCATTGATGAGATGTTTAGTTTTTGCGCTTCTTGCACCACACTAAGCGGTGGCGCTGATGGCCAACTTTCAAAGGGATGCAGCGTTCAGGACGGCGGGAGAACAGGCCATCTTTGTGAAGGTGTCTGGACACAGTAAACCACGACAATTGTCGCCGGTTGCTGTACACAGTTGCTGAGCTGTGGAGCTTGCTGAGTGGTTTTGAGCTCTTTTCGCCTGTACAACGATATATCAGTTATCTGTTGCAGTTGTTGTCCTGGAGCGGCCACCATCAACCTTTCTAATATCTGTACCTATGGTTTGGAAGTTTTTCCAAGCCCGCGAAACGACACTTTTGTTGACTTCGAAATCTTCAGCCACACTGGTCCCACTACGCCCCTCCTCCAGCTTTCCGATCATTCTTCCACTCGTGAAGTCATCCAGATGATTTCTTCTAGCCATATTTCACGAAAGATTTCACTTGTACTTACAGCGAATGTCTTTAATTGCGTCTCCGTCCTTCCTTTTATGGTAGTCTCGAGTGGAGAGCATGCGTCTTGCGTACGATCACGTAGCCGTGTTTTTCCTGACATTTGCATGTGCATGACCTTTCTACTGAATTGCGTGTTCATTGAAATGATAGCAAGAACCTCTTTTCTGCAACTGCATGGTTATCTGATTAAAATTTGCATTGTTGCTTACGTTTTGAATACCAGTGTGTATAAATCTGACACTATGGCAGGTTTTTCTGGCTCATCTTCGAATCTATGATTATATTTGAAAATTCACTTTTTCTTATCTTTTGTTAGTCATTTCTCGTCTTATACCTGTGACCACACAATGCGCTTGCTTGTATCCACGTGATATCATTCCAAGAATCTCACACGATATCGTTCTAAGAATAGTCAATAGCTATTTAGGAATCTAAGATGGTGAGAATCTCAAAATTGAAAATTTTCATGAATATTTTTCGAAAAATTCCAGAGATGTTTCATACAAATAAAACGGGAGGACATTACAAATTCTGCTGCTGCTTAAATATAATTACAATTGTATTAGTTATTGCAATCGTTAACGGTTTTTACGTTCTTACGGTTCACGCTCTACTTCTCGCCTCTTTATAAACTTTTTATGAAAATTTGGAAATTCTCTAGTATTTATACCCTACGTAATTACGTAGGATACATATAATATTATGTGCGTATCAATACCCTACATAATTACGTAGGGTATTAATTACGTATAAAATTATTTTAGGGCAAAGACTTTCAAGAGTCAATAGAATGCTAAGTGTTATTATTGCACTTACAAAATCATGCTGTAAATGTAAAAGGCGAAGAAAAAGTTAAACAAACTGAAATTGATTTACACTTTTCCATCAATAATCATTACTGGCTTATTTCACACTTTCAGGAAGGATGGAAAGCATTTTGATTACATTTTTTAACAGCTTATACTGTACAGTAAAAATCTGTATTTCCGTATAAAAGATGTCAAATAGTTGTCTCTAATTTTAAATGCAAGAGGGTACTTTTAAACAGGGAGCCTTTTAAAACCCCTTGAAATCACAGGGTTCAAACATCTACTTCAAAAATTTATCTAATTTTAAATTTTTTTTTTTACTATTATTATGACAAATGATCTAGGATTCATTCTTTCTAACATTAATTGTATTTTTGTGAAAGAAGATGGTTTCTGCGTCTGTATTTTTATGTATAATTTAAATGTATAATGGTAAAATCAATTTAACCTGCGGTCTCTTCCCGACAGATGGCACCGCTTGTACCACTTTCCGAGAAAAGACAGGCGAAATTTCTGCATAAATGCTTTATTTTGTCGAAAATTCGCTGAAGGAACAAAGCATTGAATTCTTTCTCAAAGCGATAACTACGAAATTTCCACCACAAGAAAAACAAAAGCCCATTTGTAACTAACTGTCTTTTGGAATTGTTGTTCATCAGCTGCATCGAATGCTGATGCTCACTTGTCTGACCTATAGAGTGACTTTCGTGAATTTAGAGTTGGCCAGTTGGACGAGCCTATAGTCGGCCCAAGTCCACGAAATTCATCGTGGCGAGAATACAAGACTGCGGCTGTCGTTGGTAAGAGGCATGAGCACCTATGCAGAGTTGATCCGGTGACATTATGACTTTGCTCAGTTCCGCTCTCAAATTTAGAGAGCACCACTCCATAAAGAGCACCTCGGCGCGTCGGGTACAAGGGTCTCCTACCCCTCTTCCCCAACCTCTCGAGAGGACTTCCGGATAGTCGCATATTTAGAGTGTCCCATGTTGCACGCACGCACATTATACATTTACAAACATCCATATCTACTCCAGGACTCTAACCGGGCCTTTCGGCAAGGCAGTCAGCAACACTAACCAGTCGGGCGGCGTTTTTTGGAATAAATATAATTGAAGCTTAGACTATGTATGCAATGATATGTATTGTTACGAATTTCGTATTTAAAAAGCTAATGTTAGTTATGCTTCAGTTGCATTTATGCCTCAGTTATAAGTTTTATTTCCTGTCCAGGGATTGTACTGCCCGGGGCGTGAAGTCCTTGGGAAGGGGGAAGTTACGAATTTCGTATTTAAAAAGCTAATGTTAGTTCAATTATAAATTAAATGGTTTTATTTCTCGCGCAGTGCAGCGCGTGACGAATATTAAAAGAAAGCTAAGCCGGAAAATTGAAAATGCAAGAGCGCGTGCATTAAATAAATATCTCTTTTTGATTTCGAGAAAGTACTAGAAAATTCTAGCGCGTAAATTTTAAAATCTTATAAAAAGAGGAAAACATCTCAGTTCGTGGTAGTTGCTTAGTTTGTTGTTGTTTAGAAAACTGCTCTTGTTGATTGCAGCGAATTCGCGGATTAGCTTTAACTGTTTTGAATTACGTTCTATTGGACATTTGAGTAGTTAAAAGATAACTACTGTGAGATATTGTAATACTGCATGATAATTTGAGAAAATTTAAGCATTTTTGTTGTGATAATAATAAATTTTCGTTCATTTTTCATCGGACTTGTGCATTCATTTCGTAACGAACCCGTACACACGCAACAATTTCTGGTGTCAGGAGTGGGGTTTGAATGCCAATAACAAGAGCGATGGAAGAACAATTCAGGCAAATGATGACTGCATTTGCTTCTTTCCAAGAAAAGATGGAAAGAGCTGTCAACTCCGTTAAGGAAGAAATGAAATTGGGCCAGGAATCCGTTAAGGAAGAAATGAAATTGGGCCAAGATTCCGTTAAAGGAGAGATGAGATCCGTTAAAAAGGAAATGGATGCCATTCACGAAATGTTAGAAGCTGGTCAAGTAACTTTTAAAGAAGACATAAAAGCTGTACAAGAAAAGATTGAAGCAAATCAAGACGAAATGAAAACAGAAATAACCTGCGTAATAGAAAGTAAATTTGAGGCTATGGAAGACAGAATAGGAGCTTTCGAAAATAAAGTCGGGCAAATTAAAGAAAAGGTTTCTTCTATCAGAGATGAAATAGAAGATAGAATGTCGGCTGTGGAGCAACGAGTCGAAGGAAGAGTTTCAGCCTTCCAACAACAAATTGAAGAAAGAGCTTCTGCCGTCCAAGGACATATTGAACAACAAATCGAAGACAGAATTTCTGCTGTCGTCGCCAAAGAATTTGACACTTTAAAGAAATTC